ACAGATGATAATGCATTGTGTTCTGTACATCGGCCATGCGTATTCTTAGGCGGCATTTGATCGCGCGATGATCGCTCCCCTGATTGCAGATATGCCCAGTGTAAAAAGGTGATTCAGAGTACTTTCACCGCTGGTAGGTTGGGAGACTTGTTGCTGCCAACCATACATTTGGATACAGGAGATAAGAGTTTGGCGTTTCAAAGGAGCGGTTCCCATGGGCCATGAAATCGAAGGCAGATTGAAATCACCCCATGAATCTTATGTAAAAATGGTAGGCTAGCGGCGCATTCAAATGAAAGCATCAGTAGTTCAAGGGCTTCTTGGCTACCGTCTGGCGCGCTGTAGATACATCCCATAAACTGCTGCTGCTGATTAACAGATATCGTAAGCCAGAGTGATTCCTGAACATTGTTCAACACTGCGTTATAGAATGTTGCTGCTGCGAGCGATTTTTTCAGATAAATTACACAGCTACCACCTAGACGAACAGGCCGATTTCTTATAAACTTTTTATATCCGAAACTAGTTAACTGAGTGTCAGACATGCCATCATGACACCAAAATTCAGTCACAAATATTATATCAGGATTATTCACCAAAACAAATGAGCATAGTGTGTGGATCTTCGAGTAAAGAGAGCGAAGGTTTATCAAAAATACTGAAAGAGATGTGATATGAGGAAGATTCTTTAGGTTGTGTTATAAACACTGGGGTTTCAAGCCGTGTGCCTGGACCCAGGCTAGAAATTGTTGAAAAAGTGCGCGTACTGCCAACGGTGGGAAATGATTTGGTAGCCACAGCGGAGGGGATTGAGACTGCGTATGGCCCTCAAGAAAACGGTTCGAGGGAAAGTGTCCATGAATGTTGTAATAGCCTGTGGGAGCTGGAGCGTTAGGTTGTGTCCTCTGCATCATGTCACTAACAGGCTGTTGATTATGTAATGCATTGATAGGAGTCAGTGGGTTGCTGTTATATCCAACTATGGACAAAATCCGCTTACATGCGCTCGATCTACAGGGCTTCACTGTAAGCAGTGGAGGCACACTGGTGTCAATAGATACACCAACATCAGCATCATCCATATGGTTCTTTGATGGAATCAGAAAGTCATAATACCCAATTACACAGTGTGTACGGTGCAAAGATGGCGGCAGGTGTTCCATAACTTTATGACCAATGGATGGACGTCTATCCGAACAAAATGACAATACAGAGTCGCCCATTGATGTTTTCGATAAATCTAGGTCTACGGTCCTTTTACTATCGGTCAAGTTGACCGGATCCATCGATATTCTCGATGAGCTTGGACACTGGCCAGAGTAGACTTTAGGCGAGACATGACAGTTCGAGACTTGAGGTAGCGGTTTTGCATGCAGCTGAGATTTAGCAGGTAATGCAGTTGTTATTCGCTGATCCCCATTGTTGTCACTTCGCATACAAGAAAGAGCATTGGGATACCCTATATGACTGCCAGAATTGATTATCTAAGAGGACGCACCATGCATATCACTAGTTTTGAGGATTGTAGTGATTTTGAACTTGATCGCCTTAGCATGCTTAGCCGTGAAACTGCGTTCTAGTGGAGGTCCTCCAGTAACCAATTTTGCACCTGAGGTCGATCTTAGCTCCGAAGTGCGAGAATCAGGTGTTCTACTGGACATAGCGTCTAATGCAATAGAGTGGTCCGCATCTTCATGTGATTGCTTATAAGCATAACGTCGAAAGCGTATGTAAAAGTAAGTACATAAAACAGAAAAAAGCGTAGAACACGGTAAAATTTCATCGGAAAAATAGCTAGCGTGCAAAAGTTTTGAGAATGTTTGATACTTGAGGTTTTCGAGCTGTTTGGTGAGGTTTGGTTTTCAAAACGCTTTTAAACGGAAAATGGAAAGTACACAAAATAATTACAAACGAAAATTATTTACACTGTACATATTCAAAACGAGGTTTACGAGTGTCCGGATCACGGTAGCTGGTGGTGGAAGGTGACAGGCTATATGCGGTTGATGATTACTGGACGGCTGTGGTCTGTAAGACGAGACAGGCACCGGAATCGGCAATAATATCCGGTGCAGGTAAGTAGGAATTCGCATGAACCATTGCAATACGATCAAGGCAATGTTGTTCCCTGCATAAGTTTGGAATTCACACAGTCGATGAGCGACGACCTTTCGTTCACCACCGCGATCGACTGGAACGGTTTTCTTCGGAGGCGTTCTAATCCGTGCACCATGCCGTTATTGCGCTAATCATTAAGGTATAATGACTGCAGCCGATGTCGAACACCATGTTGTTTTCCTGTCCTGATTGTCACCCTAATCGTATATAGTAAACAATACAGGAACGTAGTCCGTAAAATAGCGCAAACTTGATTTTGTTCAGCTTAGGTTTTAGGAGGGCATACCAGCGCTTTGTGGGTTAGCCTGAACGCATATTTTACCTGACTAGCTCGTCCCCGCCCACGCCGTAGCACTTGCCTGGTTCATTTCGTGACAGGCGTGATAGGCGCTCATGAATGGAAGCGTAAAAACAAAAGTTTAATCAGGTTATGGACGTGCCCATGAGACGGCAACAACTCGATCTTTTCCAATTTAGGGTGAACTTATCAAGCCCATCCTCTGGTGATCAATCATAATGTTCCAAAATCGGCTGCACATGTTATAGTGCAACACATCGTTTACACTTCCGCACGGCATTGTTCTTTTAGTGATACAAGTACGTTTAGCTGTGAATAGCGCATACCTGTGATATGGGACTGAAAGTGCCATATGGAACACGCAATAGACGTTCGTCTATCAAAAACCGCGGCTCTGGATCATCAGAGCATAAAGGATACTAAGGCAAATAAATTTAGATTATTGAAGTAATTAAAGGACATTTTTCATTGCAAAGCTATGTGGCTACAACGCACATAATCGTTCGTATCATTTATTATACCTAAGATACATTAAGGTGGTTACTTAGTTTCTGTGTATAATCAAATACACCGTCCAGTTCTCGTCCTGATGACTGGGATTACTGCTACGGTTGTGTTGTCAGATACGTGTAAACAAGTATGCATATCTCAAACACGTACACCGGTGTCTTCCACAATAGAGAATCAGGTAGACGCGGATCATGTATTTAATGAGCTGGAGGAATTTGAGGGCTTTGTAACGCCCAGACAACCGCAACATGTAGCCATAGGATATTTCCGCTGATGTTGCGTCGAATTCAGTGTTGACAGTATTTCTCAGGCCTAAAAGGATGATGAGAATGGGATCACACTATGTAGTGTCTTTGTGGGCTCAGAGCGTTTCCTTCAACTGGCAGTGAAATAACTTGACCATGGCTTCCGCGACAGGATGACAAACCGTCGTCCGGACGTGGTGGCAGCCTAAACCCTTAAGCAGCGTAGCAATAACGGACAAGAATTCTGACATTCGATTAGTCGGTACGATGACGGAACAACATGGCTGCGCTATTTATATCTCTAAAATTGCATCCCCTACTTTTTGTAGGATAAGTCAGGAGGAAGAATCGCAGAGCATATGTCCGAGCCACCTCAGGTGCCTTAGCAAATTTATGCAGTTCACTGCATACAAGCCACTGCCTCGAAGTATCCCCGTGTTCACAGTTCGGTCACTCCAGCAGCTACGTATAATTCAGCATGAACTCTGCTCTTGGAAGAGCTTCAGACGTCCGGCATCCTTCCGATAAAGCGTCTAGGTTTCGCTGCCTCATCGAAGAATGCACAGCAACACAGACTTGTATACCAGCAGCTTCTTTCAGCTAGTGAGCTGGTGGTCGTTCCACATGCGACATTCCAGCTTGCTAACCGTAGCAGCCGTCTTCGATACGCGGCTGCGTTGCGCGCTCGTCATCTGCAGATCGTTTGTAATCACTATACCTAGACAGCAAAATTTCGGAGTGATTTCCAATACTTCTTCGGCAACCTGGATTTAGGGCATGCACACGGACCACATTTCGGATGAAGGCTGGCAAAACAAACGGTCTTACTTGGGTTGATGATGAAGCCGAATTTGTACGCTGTAGAAGCCAGAGCACTAGTCATGCGCTGCAAATCATATGCGTTGTGTGCAAACAACGCGCAGTCGTCAGCGAACAGCAACATATGGATAGTTGTCTCACAGACTAGGGTCCTCGTATCGAAACGATGAATGTTCAGCAAAACACCATCAATACGGTGCTCAACATGAACACCGTAAGCACATGCAGCATCCAACGCATACCACATCATGGCATGCAGATAAATATTAAACATTGCAGGAGCTAACACACAGTCTTGCTTCACACCAGAGATAACTGCAAAGTCATCCAAAATCTGTCCACTCAGTTGTACCCTCGCGCGCATCCCAATGTGCAGCTTGAGTGCATATTTTACTTGGCTACTTCGTCCCCACCCACCATGTAGCACACGTCTAGTTAATTTCCTGATTGACACGCTAGACGCGCCTGTATCAAGATAGACAAGGCGAAAATGTTTCGAAACCACATGTTTCGGAATTAAAGCGTATATTCTAATATGCTCATATCTCTAGACTCGAGATTTGGAACCGAAATTTATCAACTTGTTCAGATTCAGTCGAAATATCCATGTGGTTACTTACAGCTGCACACACCTGTAGAAATCTTTAGTGAAACTATACGCTGGTTAATAAATTATAAGCTTCAGCTATGTTCCCTCTTTTAGTGACAAACCAGCTGTACTATCCAATGCTAAAGAGCTATCTAAAAGCAAATTGCAACACGATGCTTGCTGGCACACTGTTCATGTAGCCCAATTGCCGGACATTTTTAGTAAGATTTGCCACTGTTGCATCTAGTGACATTACCGGATGACCTCTGACCCTTCAAATATGCGCTGTATTTCCGTGATACATTGTTTCCCGTTCGATAGATAACCTGATCGTTGTTCACCATCGATTCACTTTTAGCTTCGAGCAAAAAACAACATGTGCCTAGTTAACTCATCTGGTTAATAGAGTCTATTAACATCTATGATACCCGACGCATAGTTTGCTCACTTTAGTAAATTAAACTGGACCCGAAGCGCGCGCCTTGGATTATAATTCAACCGTCTTCATGCTGTACAAGGAAGGCGTTAGATACGCATCAATGCCTTAAGAAGCTGCTGATCAACCCTTTGCAAATATTCACGAGGATACGAATTACAGACGGTGAACAATAACTAGGAACGATGGTTAGACTCAGAAATGCTTCTACCTTTGAAATCAAATTTGCTGTTACTCGAGTCTCTGTGACACAAGCATTTTACAGATAAGTTCGATCTTTTTCGCCCTCTTTTTAGCATTATGAACCGCATTTAAACTCCAATATCCGTGTTTCAGTGAGACGCGTGGCATCCTTCCAGAATTTCATTTTCTTTTCTAAGGTTGCTTGATGCATATCTTGGTAGGTCCGCTGACAATACGTATAGTAAGCTAGGCCCATAATAGTATCATGCTCATTATAGCTAAGCTCTTGCAACTGTTTGAAAACTTGTTCGCACTTGAACGAGGCATCTGTCTAAGTTGTCTTGTCAACTGTTTAATATGAGCTGGCAACGGAGAGGTATCGGTGCTAGATTGAGCTAGAACGTGGTCCGACCGGTATGCAAAGCCTGTGAGAAACCGTGTGACGCTTACATCAGTTTCTACTTTGATGGTCATAGACTGGTCATGGCTTTGCCAAATGAACTATGTCGTTCATACATGCATAGTTTTACAATGAGCCTGCAATCAGGGACCGGCATAAAGGGAACTTAGGCAAATGCTATCACCTGCAGTGGGTAGGATGAGTATGGTGACTGCAGATCGAATGTTACAGCACAATCTTGTACGTTGGAACACGAGAGGCATAATTGGTAGATCACGTTAGCTCCTGTGTGGGTTCATCTTAAATATGACCAATGTTAGCCTTCGGATTTTATCCCTTGCATGCACTAGTACCTGCCTAAATACTAACAACAATAGTTATATTCCATGTCATCCAAATCCGGTACGTATTCAAGCTACAGTTAAAGTGTTACGATGACATCAGTGTACAAATGCCAGTGAATGGTTAGCCGAGGTTTCTTGGTGGTGGTTAATTTACGCAGACCCTATGCGTGATTGACCTGCAATTGTTGGTTGTGTACCATGTATATATGCAACATAATTTCACTGAGCCACATCACACGGATAAACGCGACAAATTATTTCCACCGGGAGGTGTACAAATTATGTGACCAAAGGAATTCATGCAGACCTCAGACCCAATGTTTGTGAAGCGGGATTTTTAAACACCAAGGAGGGAGGAACAGTGGTTCATCGGAACATGTTGATCCCATTGTCCGCATTACAGGGCTTACGCAGAATCATGAAGCGCATCGTCGTCACTGAAACTGATGGAGTCTACTGCCAATAGATTGGACCGCGCTGCTTGAGAAATATTACAGACACCAATGGCACCAGTGCAAGCTGAGGCTGGGCGATTTGTCCAAATGTTAACTGACATTGACTTGTCAGCGCTCAATCACTAAAGCCTTCGAAAAACTAAAACATTTGGGGTAGTTTCCGCCGTCATATGTGCCAATTTATTCTTCTGAGTTCCGGCACTGCATGCAGTCTAGAGTCCAACTAAATTAGAGCCCACTAGTTGGATAGAGTTATATATTTGTGGAAGACAGCGAACACAATGTGAGTCCTGGCTCCTTGTTTAAGGAGATGAAGAACTGTTCTTGCGCACACAATTCCGCTGTCACCCTGAAATAATAATATATGACTCTAATTACGTTTGCTTGAAAATAAGTAGCGGTCATTTCCTTAAGTGCCCCCTGTAGATATAACGATCATTACTTGAGCGGACAGCCGTTTGCACGTTAGATTGCAAGTAAACAAACACATACCCACGTTTATGCTTGTTGGTATATTTATGACACCCTCAGATTACCGGTATTAAAACCTCATATACTTATTTTGTATCTGGATAGATACCATGGTTTATGCCATGCATGGGGGAGAGAAACGCGCAACTTAGCTCTACCATCTAGTAGCAACATAGACATATCACAGATTCTCATTTGCCAGCATTGCAGTAGAAGACCCCTGGCGGATGGAACGGAGGGAGCATGAAGTGCGTGCTTTGAATACTGGATACTGAAATTAGAGAGCGCGAAGACGTACATCTGTGTTGCTCAATCGTAATTAGATCAAACACCTGCACGAAATCACGCTGCTGGTACCTGCCCGATGGCTACATATTACAGCTGCACTACGTCTTATCCGGTTGCGATATGCTCCCTACACACGCAGCCCGTAAACTGAGCGTCAAAGAATCTCTTAGTTTCCGACACTGATTTCGCGTCGATTATTGTCTCAGGCAAATGTTTTCAGTATTTTAGCATTCAGTGCTCAAAGCATAGAGGGTGAGCGATACGTTTTAAATCCCGTATCATCAGTTTGTAACGGTCTCCCTGTGTTTTGCTTGATGCGTGAGAGTGCAGCAGCTTTCTCAACATTAAGAAGATTCCCAGGTGCAATATACGATGCGTCATAATAAGATCAACTCGAAGCCGGTGATATGACAGGGTATAAAGCCCTCGTATCCCACATCTGTCCTCGTACGACATAAACCGTAAAAGGGGTGTGTGCTGTTTTCGCTTCCACTTGTCAAAATCTTTCACTCTAGAAATCAGTCAAGGTTAACATACACTAGATTTCTCTTTATTTTACCCAGGAGCTTCGTCACAATTACACCCGGTTAGAGAGCCGGTAGAATGCTAGACATTCTGGAAATGCTAGCATTTACTCTCTCCTCTGCATCACTAGAACCTGCGACCCGACCTACATGCCTCCGTGGTTGAAAGAACTGGTCCATTTTATTGACTGCGTATTGTCAAAAGTCTGGCAGAGGTGTCCATTTGCTGTTAACGTACCTGCTTTGCTTAATATTCTCTCGTACCCGCATAACCTATTCATTCCGCTCTTTAAAACCGGTGTTTTTCCATTACACATTATCATCCGAGACTAGTTAACTATCCATTATCTCGATTTACCAAGGGCAACAATATTCTCAATAATTCGATGGCGTACCATTCACAGTTTAATGAACGGGAGTGCACATGTCTGTCAGTTGATTTAAGTCCATTTACAAAGTTATATCGCCCGGAAAATATCCGGTTGTATAAATTATTCGAGCGTGAAGGATACGAACTGCGCATTGCAGGTGCTGGAGTCTGTGACCTACTGTTGGATGTTGAACCGGATCGCATCGAATACGCAGTGTATGCCACCCCGAACCAGTTAAAGGAGATGTGCCAGAAATATGACATTCGGATTTTCAGTCGAAGAGAGGAGAATTTCGACCATTTTGCTCTCTTAGTTGATAATAGGGTAAGTTTTATGATTTTGACCGTTTCGATAGATTTTGCATGACGTCCGCTGTTCACTGTGTAACCCAATTTTATGTACTATTAGGTCTACGTAGAATATGCGAAGCATTCATAAGTTGAATTTATTCTGTTGGCAATTTCTCTTTGGTGTGCACAGTTGATATCTGGTCTGAAGTTTAAATAGTTGAGGTCTGGAGTCGCTCTACTTGTGTTATTTCCAGCTAGGCGATTGCCACTGTTGAGCAGTCTAGTTATGAGACCGATTTCGCACTCAACCCCGTCCACATTTATTTGTCATGTTTTGCGTTAGCCCATGGTTTTTCATTGTGTCAACTCACTCTATTGTCCCGAGTATCCAGTTTCAACCGCGCACATACAACAACATGCGAATAGCCACAGCCTTAGTGTAAACCAGCCCCTCTATTGCAGTTGAGCCCCGACGGAATTGGAAAGGCAACCTTGGGTTGTAAACTCCATTAGAGCTTTTGGCTTCCGACGCGTGAAATCAAACTTCCCTGAGACTCCCATCCCGATAGAAGTATTGCCACTAGGCTCGGCTACATGGTTGCGTCTTTGGTGAGAAGACATGAATTACCTGCGGCGTTTGCTGATGCGACATTCGTCTACACTTGTCCGTACTTGCAATTGCTACTGCATCATAGGCTTCAAACTAGTTTCGCCGTAACAGAGCATTCCACAATGCAGGTTGATAAATATGTTCCTAGCAAGTGAAAGTGCCTGCAAGCGATTTCGTCACATAAACTACAAAGTAACAAGAATAAAATGGGTTTGTTCCAAAGTAAGTGCCAACATTAATCAAAGGGAGCGATATCGGAGTCTATCGAGTGGACACGCGGTGGTATAATGTGAAATGCTGCAGGTATAGCCATCGGGTACTTGAGCCTATTTAGACCGGTCTGTTGTAAAAGGAAGCAACAACTACCACGGCACACCACCTAAAATTGGGAAGCTACTTGTGCGGATTTGGGCTGGAAACATTGTAAAAATGGATTGGTGTGAGGACGTTGTACGAGGGGTGTTCAAAACGCAACCGAACTTTTACCATAACATTTTAATTGTTCATTACACAAAGTTTTAAACACTTCCGCCTTCAAATTAGCCCCATATACTGGCAATACACCGTTCCCAAGGGTGATTCCACTTTTAAAAGCCTCCTGCAAAGTACTTTCCGAGATGGCGCACATGTTTCTTGTCGCATTGTCCTGAATCTCCTCCGTGGTTTGCGAACGACCTTTCAAGGTGGTTTCAAGTTTGAGAAAAAAATAAAAACTTGCGGGGGCTAGGCCCTGAGATTACGGTGGATGGAGAACAACCTGAGTATGATGTTTCGCTATCTAGTTGCGGACAAGCAGCGATACGTGAGCCGGTTCATTATCATGATGCGACATCAAAGTATGTTGTACCCACAGTTAGGGCTTCTTCTTGCGCACAGCATCCTTCAAACTTATTAGAGTTTGATGGCATGATCCAACGCTAATATCCCCATCGTCAGCAAATTTTCGAACAGTTAAACGACGATTTCCACGGATCACAGGCAAAACTTTGTCCCCATGGTCCTCTTTTGTTGTGGTGGAAGGTCCTCCAGACTTGGGATCGTCAACGACCGAAATTCTACCATGTTCAAAACAATTAAACCACACATAGCACTGTGAGCGACTCATACAGTTCTCCTCGTATGCTTGGCCATGCAATTGAAATGTAGCTGTAATAGTTTTGTCAAGTTTATAACAAACGTTGATAAACGCGCATTGTTCTTCAAGTTCTTACATTGCCTCTTTGGCACGAATCCGTCGAACAGCTTGTGCCCGTACTCACTCCAGCGGCTGTAGCTCCCCAACATGCAATCAGAGAGAAATGTGGCAAATGGCAGTTTGTTGTCTAACTAAGCCACCACATGCGCTTAGTAGCCGCAGCACGCTATCGCTGCCGGATGCCACGCTATTTCAAGTCTTTGGTTTCTTTTTGAACACACCTCGTAAGTACGGAAAGAACCCATAAAACAAGTTACGCTTTATTCGGGATATCGACAGCCTCCACTGGCGTAAAGAGGCGGTTGTGGGATAAGCTGCAGAATCGTAACGAAGCACAAAGGCAAGCGTATTACAGTTCAGGGAATGAGAGCAACTCATTTTAACATGTGATTAAGTACAATTTCCTGAAACTCTCGCTTATCCGGCGTGCTATGATAGACGGACAGCGTTGATGGGCTGCGAGGAACAATGCAATGAAAAATGCCCGATTTTAAGCATGGAAATATAGTTCCAGCGGACCCGAAACAAGGTACTGGACCTAGCTTCAGTAAGTTAGGAAATTTGAGGTGAACGGAATGCTTGCCAATCCGTGCTTTCAATCGAATTCTTTGTTGGTAAGTTGAGTTGATTCGGTTCGTCTACACTACACAGTGCTTTGAATCATGTGGAACACCGTGTTTACAAATCCACTATAAAGCATACCGAAGAAGAATTATCTCAGTGCCGGCTGAACAGGATGCTAGTTTCAAATTCTTGTATTCATGGTTGAAAAGATAGAGGAAAACGTGTAACTAGTGGGTTCGGTATTGCCAGTCGACATTTGTCGGCTACTATACCGATTTCATATAGGGCGATGATCATTCAGGTGACGAATTCACTGCATCGTCAGCGTTTGCTGACAGGAGGGAGGCTGTAATGCCGGCATTAATTTCGGTGTTTGCTCAGGATGCATTGAGCAAATATTTACTCCAAAACAGTATGGAAAGTTTACATTGTAGGCTAACTGCTCTAGGTGTTGCTATGCTTAAATTAACTAACGTTCCAGCTTGTGATTTGGATTAGCATCGAAAGCCTCCTCGACAAGTGTATTTCGCGGGACCAACTGGCCTCATACTAAGTTGAGTAATGTTACTGTTTGGGAATGCTGTACATGATATACTGGAAAGTGCGGAAGCAACCCTGCTTGAGGGGTTCATCTTGCTGTCAGCAAGATCAGGTTAAAATGAGCAGTAGTAGCTATCTGGGGCTTTTATAAATTGAAACACCAGTTTGCTGTGCCGTAGAATGTTGCAGCCGGATGGTCACTGGGAGTCATAGTAGGTAAGGATAAGAGGGATAGCGTTTACCAGAGCTCGTACAGTGGTTGGGATAAAAATAGCAAAGTCAGACAAAGAATGTAGCCATTAAATGTGACTGCGCGCTTGTGAACTCGTTGGTGAATTCAAACGGTGAAAAGTCTAACTGCAACTGATTGGAATTTGGGAGCATGCCGTATGGTTGCCTTCTGTAGTTTCCTGGTGGATACAGGTTATAAAATGAAACGCAAATGATGCAAAGCGTCGGCCGGGCATTTTTAAGTCATTTTTTAATTTGGAGAATAAAGAAACAACGTACATGGACTGGACGTTCCGACCCAACGGAAATGAAATTTCCAGCATATTCCTGTCGACTCTATTGTGTGCAAACCTTAAACTGGTGACACCTTAGGTTGGTGATTTGACTGATTTCCTAAGCCTGGTAGCAATTGTGGTTGGGAGTCTTCGCGATTTGCCGAGCCATTACAAGCCCCTACTCCTGAAGGGGACAACGTTAAGTTTTACATATTCCTCCTTACTGCATTCTAAGTTGGTGGGTACACGTTTTGATTGTCCTCTGTTGTCTAGTCTGGACCGGTAAAAGATTGAGCCTTTGCCACAGGTGACACGGCTGAATAATAATAGTAAATGTTTATGGCAAGAGGCAGAAGGAATTTACAGAGGCAGACGGATACGGGACACAGCCATAGGTTTACTTTACAACCTAACTCCTTATAGTCTATCAATACTTCGAAATCTTTGTGTATATCCGATAGAATCAAGTGTGCAAAGTCTACGTTTAGTAGAAAGTGGCTGCCAACCCTGCTAGACAGGTGGCAGGCGCAGAATTGCAACCTTGTCTTGCCGTTGATCTCTAGCATATATCAACTGGCAGTCCATCTCTGGTCTTTGCATGTGCACAATTCCTTCGATAGAGATCTATTCAGAGAGGAGAGTGATTAAAGCAAATTGTATGAATGCGGAAATATTTGCGTTGATGTCGTACTTTGTGCTGTTGGTTTGCAAAGCACTTTCACATTTGCTCTACTATGTTGCAGTATCAGCTAATCAAATGTGTCTAAACATCACGACATTAAAGTTTGGCATGATACCACTTCGCGTTTTATCCAATATTTGCTAGTGGAGAATCAAGCAAGTCAAACTGATTTTGTAGCAAATAGTATTTAGATAATCGTGGTCCAACTGAACTGGACTTAATGGTTTGAAGATTCAGTGATTTCCGATGACCGGGTATCGCAAAGAAAAGACAAACAAGTATAAACTCCTGCTACCAGTACCATGCTGTTTTGCTCAATGCTCTGCGACTTTGATGAGTTCCCTATGTCAACGTTTACAACTGGATTTCCCGCATGTGTAATTCAGCATGCGACAACGTGTGACCAAGATATTAGTTCCAATAATAATGACTTCGCCCACGAGTTAAAATCTGCTATTTGGTTTGCATGGGAATCAAGATTACAAACATCTTTGATACGTCATCTCCTCCCGACGTTCACAAAAAATCTTTAAGACCAAGCTCTTTCTGCTTTTGCTTGTTCCTGTAGTTCAATTTTTGCATAACAACTGTTCGAAATGACGCCTCACCCAGCAGATCGACTGGCATGGACGTATGCAACAGTGCCTGGAAGCGGAACGCAGCCAAAAGGGAATTCACGGTGACTGCCATGTTTATCACCCTGGATCTATCTACTTTACCAGAAAATTCAAGAAATACCTTGCCGCATTGCGTTTCCCGTGAGCACTCAGCAAATCAGCATGCTACAAGCGTGTTTAAAGGATGTGTTTACGACTACTATGGTGGATTGCAAGACGTGCAAAATAGGCGGGTCCGGTTTGTCGGTGACCCATCTATCCGCATGCGTGAAAGCCCCATAAAGATTCTCAGATACTTCCTCTTCCATGGACATGTTGTCAGGCCAGCAGAATGGGACGTTCACGATCCTGAAATATTGAAGGTACCTTTCAAGCAGCAGCTGATTTTGACATTTGCTCTTAATGGGGCCTTCTAGCTACCTATTGCTATGTTGAGAATTTGGACAACCAATTTATTTGTAGTTGTAGTTGTTTTTTAGTTTAAGCATATAGTTTGGCAATTTCTTTAAGCACCGTTATATGCACAGAAATTATAGTCGTACCTAAGGCTGCTTTATACTCAATTACTAGTAAATTTGCGTGCCACGTGTTATCCCATCTGTTTTGCATCGCAGTTTTCCGGATTAATATATGAATTAGAAGCGACCAACATCGTTAATAACAGTTTGCATAAAATAGTAAAACTGGTATGTTCGCAACTAGTTGAGACACGGCCCAGCAAAGCTGCTCCGATCATAAGACAATAGGAAAACACAAAGTGCGCTTACTTGATTACTGTAAAAGGCAAATTAAATTTTCCTTTCCACTATTTAGTTCACCATCCATTTCGTTTCACAAGGTTTCGAAACGAATGACGGTGGCATCCCGTTCAGACGCGTTTAGGTGGTGTGTAACAGGAGGAAAGCAAACTAAGATGGATTAAACTTGTGAAGTAACATTATGAAATGAAAAAACGTGGTTGCAAACGAACATTGGCTTGGTATGCAACAATACTTTTAAAAAGCGAGATATGTGAGTAGACAAGACAGTAATTCAATAGTAAGCAGTTAACTTATTAAGGTCTTTTATACTAAACCATGTAAAGTAATTAGAAGGAACAACATGTCGCAAATAGAGAAGAAGATATGGTATCAAGGGCAGATGGAAGTTCGTACAGAAAATTAATGGTTTAGTGACGGTGCATCAATAATTTAACCCTTCAGTAAGTCCATGTGTTGCAGGCACACATGCCTACTTTTTGCTCGGTACGGAAAATGAAACTTTACATGAGGGCCAAAGCAAAGCCTAGTCTAGATAACTGCGCTACATCACAACCAGCTTCCAAATCAGATAATCGTTCACATGCCCGGAAATGCATTAGACTGCAGTTTCAGGCTGTTGGGCATCGTCAGTAGTGAATATCCCTCGGATCCATCAGGATTCGAACACATGACCACCAGCGGCTTGCATCGCCAGTCAGCAGTTTATGCCACTGGGCCACAGCGAACAGCTTCGGACCGTCATGATTTACAAGCTGTGATATAGCGCGTCTTATCCTCCAGTTCCATGCGAGTTACGAAAGTTGCAGAGGACAGGATCGGCTCCGAAAGACACGAAGTTCAATAAGAGTAGCCATGTATGACACAGCAGTTAGTAACTGTTAGGGCACATATATTTTTATGTATTCATGAGTAGGGGATTCTGATGTAGATAACCTAACCCATATGCTTTTAAAGGCAATTATTTATTATTGCTATGCTCAAGTAGCTTGATAATACAGGTTTACATACATTAATGGAAACATTTTACTACTACTTATGCTGTCCCTATGGATTTAGCAAAACCATGTAATTAAATCCGAAATCCACAAGGAAAGAGGGAAAAGGGTACACATTTACTTGTTCTACAGTTCCATGCGTGCGTCTATCCTGCTGGGTCGGCTAGTGAATGTGACAAATATTTGCAGTGTAAGAGCTAATTGAAACCTGAGTGTGGACTAGGAATAAAAACATTAATGTCGTACTGGGAAGCTTAAGGATGTGATTGGTAAAAAGGGTTACTTAAGTGCAAGAACGAAATGTTATAGGCACCGAAGTGCTTGGGGACCGCAGAGTTAACATGGGATCCATTTCTCACTCCAAAGTATGGGGAAACATATTTCTAACTGGTTCCGAAAAATGGCATTTTAATTGTGAAGTGGTCGTAGGAAATGTTGTTGGTAAGCATTTCGATTTATGCATGACAGTAGTTATAGTAAAATAAAGATCCGATGTATATAAAGCGATATGAACCTTTAAAAAATAAGATAACAGCTTTCTATTTTGTGAAGCAGTTAAAAAAGTTTTGAACTGACATAAATTTTGGAACAGAATGTAAGGAAGATAGTTCACTGTGGATGAAAGGGGTGTTTTTTATTTATTAATCACCATAGGACGAGAGGCATTTGCAAAGCATCACGACCTGTCACTGCACCACAGTCCCTCACACTGTGTGATCGTGGTTAAGTTGTTTGAATTATGTGAGGAGTTATGAGAACGACGGGGTCAGTTATCTCTATCCGTTTGCATAGCCAATAATACTGGTAGTCATCCGCTCATACACTTCAGAATGCGCTTATCCGGATAAAATAACGCTGAGCAAGGAGACCAGCCACCATGAGTTCATCGGAATTAGTACTAAGGAACACTTACGTGAACCGAGTTCGGCTGCTCCATACATTCCGATCGGTACTTCCGGAATCAGTGCCTGTTAGTCTAACACCAAGCCAGGCATTGCTCGAAAGGTGTTCGCTTGCTTCTTATTGGTTGGACTCAAAGGTGTCAGTGCGTGCCAACTCAACACCAAAGTAACCATTGATTGGATCGTTTTAAATTGTGTAGTAATGGACGCTCAACAGAGTACATTTTTCCGTACGGCTGAAACTGACGTGTACTGCTGTATGGTAATAGCAGAATACCGCGTTTTACTGAGAGTTGCAGTTCTGTGTGGGTCAATGGCGGCGGATATCAAATTTGGACTAAGCAGCCTACTCAAGCTGAATCGTTTTGGGAAGATGTGTCTTGCAAGCCAAATTGGCAATGAACAATGAACAATGATACATTACAGGTAACAAAGCGATTGCTTTACAAGTCCCGTAGGAAGGTTGAAGTGAAAGTAAACATAAGTGTAAGTCGTCAATTTAAGCGTCTACTGAATTCAAGTGCCCCTTATTCATAGAAACGTTGTAGAATGTGTACTGAATTGTTACTGTAGAGTAATATGGGAAATAATATGGGTGAGGCATGTCTTAAGAACAAGAAAAAGGACCAAAGCTTACTCGTGCGCCGCTTTCTTGGACTGTGGTAAACTGATGAATGCAGTTGTAATATATCCGAAACTATATTCCACAACAGCATTGTGTAAATAGTGAAGCACAAAAACTGGGAATGAGCACCGTTAGTTCTCGTTTGGGTGACGTAGACATCTCTGATTATATGCCGTAATGTAAGTGGATAAGCGAATCATCCAGACGTATTTTAAATACCGTTAGCGTGGGGGAAGAAACAACGTATGTGGGAAGAGCGTTCCAGTGTTGGCACACATGAAGGAAAAAGCAATTCCGGCGGCATTACAACCGGCTGCATCGTGTGGCCAGCTTTAGTTGGTGTCCTTTGAGTGTTGTATTGCTATTTAGCTTTAGTAGATGACGACAACAATGGTTTAGATTCCTTCGGATCATATAAGTCATTAGCAAGTCGCCACGCAGGCATCGATATTGTCCACTGTAGACCGCGAGGGTTTTCAGCCTCAATCGGTAAGGGAGATGAAACAGGCCCTTTACGTTCTTGGTCGCCCTTCGTTGTGACAGTTCAAGAGCGGTAAGGTCTTGGTTTTGCCATGGCTCCCCGGCGTGGATGGGGTACTCAGAATGAGGCCGAATGTAGGCCTTGAGCAGCTGCGAAAATATGGAAGGATCGAAGCGCCCGAATGCCCTCCGCAAAAGGCCAAGGTTTTGGTTAGCTTTTTTGAAGGTTTTCTCAGCCTGACGGGAACAGCCCAGATCTTCCTGCACTACCACTCCTAGATCGCATTCCGTTGTAGTGCGCTGCAAGATTTGATCCCCCAGTCTGTATTCGCAATTGACTTTATGGCGTATGCTCAAGAACGTGCACTTTGTAATGTTGAACTGAAGCAGGTTCTGAGTCGACCATTCGTAGACCCACTCCAGATCACCCTGAAGTGCTGCATTGTCGTTGGTTGTTCTAATGGCTCGCCATATCTTGAGATCATCAGCGAAGAGTAAGGACTTGGTGGTGATTACTGTCGCGAGACCGTTTATGTAAATCAGGAATAGCCGTGGATCAAGTACTGAACCCTGGGGCACTCCGCACTTAACGTCGATTGGGTCAGAGATCACGCCGCGAACTCTTACATTCAGATGTCGTTGAAGCAAGAAGTTGCCCATCCAACCAATTCACCAATTCCACAACATTCCATCTTGTGAAAGAGGATTCGGTGCTTCAGACGGTCGAAAGCCTTTGAGAAGTCCCGATATACTGCGTCAACACCCACGCCGCCGTCAACGGTCTCAGTCCAGCTGGATCTGGCAAGTAGCAAGTTTGAAGTGCAAGATCGGTTCTTGCGAAACCCATGTTGTTGCTGTGCTATGATATTGCGTTCTTCTAAGAAGTTCCACAGCGCTTCGGCAACAATCGTTTCCATGGTTTTGGAGAACACCGGAAGTAGCGTTATCGGGCGATAGTTGGCCGGATCTGTACGACTTCCTCCCTTATTGATGGGAGTGACGATGCCTTACTTCCACATTTTTGGCACCCGTATCTCATCGAGGCATCGTTGGAAGAACTTGCAGAGGGGATCCGCCAGGTTTACTGCAGCCAATTTCAACGCTTTTGGACGAATATTATCAACACCGGGAGAGGTATGCTCGTGCAGGGCAATTAGACTTTCCATAATATTCTTAGTCGTAAACGTGATATGGCTAAGTCCTGGTGGTGGTACAACGATTTGAAACAGTGTATGCAGCGATGTCGTGCTCTGGAAGTTAGGAGTGAATTGTTGACAGGGCGTTGGCCGCCTCGGTTGCGTTTTGTGCGGGTCTACACACTGTGTGTAAAGCAGGACTTCCTCGCTGCACTTTGCGGAGCTTGATAACTTGTCTGTACAGGAGCTTGGGGTTTGGAAGGAATTTCTAGACTAGATTCTGTTGGTGCTGTATTTTATCTTCGCGTACCAGGTTTACGCAGTGATTACTTTGGATGGTGTAGGCTTCCCATGTTTCGGCACTCGATGACTCCTTGTATCTTCGACAGAGTAAATTCCTCGTAGCGATACACTTGCGTGTCCTGCTTCGTATGAATGATTTTACTGTCTCCGCTGGCGAAGG